TTAGGGCATACATCTAACAGCATCCTCCCTCTTGCTTCCACTGTTCAGTGCCCACGCCCTGCTTACTCATTGCTTCACTCTATCTTCAGTCTATCTTCTATCTTCTCTCCTTGTCTTGCGCTGGATGTTCAACTTGTCCTCTGCCTTCTTTCCTTAATTTCATGCGCCGATCAATGCTCCTATCCACTGCTATTCCTCTGCTTCCCTCAACGTTTGATTTCAGCCCATGCCCTGTTCTTCTTCATTTGTTCTTTTTGTCTTGGTCCATTTTCTTGAAAACAGGAACGACATCCTCTTACTGTTGGTTTTGTGGCTTTGAATGAATTCTGACAATCCATCCTCCAACTTGCGGAAGGTGAGTGTGTGAAGGTGAGTGAGTGTGTGCGTGGTTGGTGACCGACGGGAGCTGTATTCCTTGTTCTCCACTGCCTCAATCAACGTCTGCCCATGCCATCTCTCTTTTAATTTTTTTTTTAATTTTTTTTGTTCTTTTTATTATATATATTTTTTATCTTTTTTATGTCATTTTTTAAAACAAATTCTAAGGGAATAAATATCAAATAAAAAGTTGTACTAAATGCATCCGCGATTCAAGAACTTGACATCTAATGAAATATATTTTTTGTGAAAAACAAGTTCCAATTTTCGAAAATGATTTTTGGGCAAAAATTTAAGTGTCCACACTCTTGACCCGTGTCAAACCCGACGCTCTTGCTGCTCCTCCAAGGTGACAAAGATGTTGTTGCCGTCTGTGATGCGCTAGGATGAGCCCTAAATCAACGACGATTCTGAGCTACTGCACCAACGCTGCCCACTACTGCTTCCGCCGCCCAAATTACTGCTTCCCCTTGCTCGTTGTTCGTGCTGGTCCATGTCGCGGCTCCGGTCCCAGCTGACTGCAATGAGTCCCTAACACCAAGACCGATGCTGCTCCTGCCATCGGCGTGCTGCCGAGCCGAGCCACCCACGACGTAGTCTAGCCGCAAGCCAACCAACCACCGCAAACTAGGGGTGTTAATGGGTCGGGTCAGGTCGGGTCGGGTTTTCATGATACCCAACCCGATCCGAAACAATGAATATGTATGCTTGGCCCAATCCGAAACAAGACCCGAACATGATATAGCCGCACGATCGGGTCGGGTCGGTTCGGTTCGGATTCGTGTTTTAGATTTTTATTATAAATTAAGGTTAAGTTACACCTAGGGGTGTCAATGGGTCGGGTTGGGTCTAGTCTCCACGCTACCCTACTCGACCCGAATCATAAAAGATATGTGGACTCTTGACCCGAACCGAACATGACTCGAAATGCAAAAATCGGGTTGGGTTTCGGGTTTAAGGTCTTTTTGGGTTCAAGCTAATATTTGATGATGTTACAATTGATTCGAAGGTTGGTGCTTATTGTTTGTTTTATCTAAATTGACGCTTCCCATGTATCCCTGGTTTTCGTCGCCCTCGATTGCCTCTAAATTCGGGGATTTTGATTGCCTCTCATCTCCGTTCTCACGTTTCGGTTTCTGCTTAATGCGGGTCAGGATGCTCCGAAACCATGCTTTTTACCGATTTTGTCATGGATTTGCCCGGGAATTACATCATGCTGTCCTGTCATTTGCTTGAAAGTTGTCGGATTTGATGCAAGTATGCATCTTTGCTTGATGTACTTATCAAGTTATCTACCAAAGACACAAATGCAGATGAAGACTTGAAATTTTGCCGGTTGAATCGTTGATCTAGTGACACCACTTTGAGACAGACTATGGTGACTCGTGAGCTCTTTGGACCGGATGACGGCGACAGAGTAGATGAGGAGGACGAAGGCAGAGTTGTTGAGAAGGACGAAGTTGACGACGACGGGCGATTTCACGTTCTGGAGGAGGACAAAGTTGAACGACAGTGCTACAAAGTGAAATGTGTTTCGGTTCTAAAAATAAAAAATAAAAATAAAAATATATGTGTTTCGGTTTGGTTCGTGTTCTAAACACGAACCGAACCGAAACCATTGAGATACCCATTTACTTAGCTAATACCCAAACATGAAGTTGACCCGGCCCGAAAATGCCCAAAACTTCGGATCGGGTCGGATCGGTTCGTGTTCCGGTTCGGGTATATTGTTTGGTTTTGACACCCCTACCGCAAACCGGTCAAACCATACCTAGGTTGAATGTGCGTTTCTAATTAATATTTGTTGCAGATACTTACATTACTTCGAGATAAGTAAATCCCTCTCTGTCTTTGTAATTTATTAAATGCTTTGGATTATTTGAATGTTACATTAATGGTTGCGCACCCGTATGATCACCTCGTATGTTAGTGAATAGGTTTAAAATTAATTCAAATTGCCTACATAAATGTTTTCATAAATAAATGAAATGGTACCCAAAAGGGCATTAGAGTAATTTAGCGTGAACAAGTCCCCGAGCTCAATTTACAATGCATTGTGTATAATACATATATCAACCACAATATCGAAGTTGAAATTCATGATCGTGAAGATAATCTAAGAAAATAAAGTAAACAATTTGTAGATAGAATTAACATTTCTTTAGTCCAATATATAATTAGTGATTGTTCAATTTACAACGGTGAATAATAAGTTCAAAGAAGACAAACATGAAGGAAATGTTAAAATGAAATACGTGCGGAAGAAGCGGCTAGGGTGAAAAAAAGTTGTTTCAAAGGGAGGTGAGTAGCTTTGTCTTTTAGTAAAATTAAAACAAAAAAAAAGAAGAAAAAAGGTAAAAAATAATCTTAAATTAGGAGTGAGATCATCCAGGGATAATGTAGTCAGTTCAATATGGCCGGGGGTGTTTTTTTTTTGTCTAGTTTTATCTTATTTCTATTTTACAAGCCACTATGTGTGCTATATGCTGTGTGCAGGTTTCGAAACCCTACTCCCTTACTCACACGTCCCCATCCCCAACTCCCCCGACAAGGTGGAGAGTCGAACTCCACACATCTCTCTTTCCAAGTAGGAAGGGTGACAACTTGAGCTACCCTCCTCAATTAGGGCCCGTTTGGTTCGACTTTGGGGGAATGCATTTGGGGGAAAGCAAATACCTTTGGGCTAAAGGGATTTTCCGAAATGCAAGTAGTGTTTGTTAAGTGTTTTTTAAAATTAACTTGGGCTAAAGGACTTTTGCTAATTTTTTTTTAAAAAAAAAAGCTCCGGTGGAGCTAAACCGGCGGCCACCGCCGCCGGCTAGATCTGGTCGCCGGCCACCACCGCCTGGGGTCGCGCGACCCTGGGGACCACAGCCTGGGGTCGCCGGACCTTGGGCGTCGCTTGGGTCGCGCGAACCAGGCCAAGCGTTCCTGGGTTGCGCGACCCCAGGCGGCGGTCGCCGGGGTCGCGCGACCCCCAGGCGATGGTTGCCGGGGTCAGGCTAGCCCTCAGGCGGCGGTCGTCGGCTGCCGGACCTCGGTTTGGGGAAGATGAACACTGTCCATGAACAATGCAAGTTGCATTCCGAAAATGCAACTTCCCAAAGCACCTAAATTGGAACATTGGCCAAAGGTCCCTTGGGGAGCATTTCAAATGCAATTGCATCTCCCCAAAGTGAGTAAAAAAAATTGCCAAACACCATTTGCATTTGGCCAAGGGACTTTAGAGCCCAAATGAGCATTCCAAATGCTGAACCAAACATGGCCTTAATGTGGTAGGAGAGTATTAGGAGCCAATAAAGGGGTGAAAATAGCGTGAGCCTAAAACAAAAGGAATATGAAATAAAATAAAAACAGGTAGTGTTTTCTAGATTTAGGAACTTGATCATTTTATTGCTATTTCTAGATGATTGTCTATTTATGATGTCATCATCCATATTTTGGTAGACATCATATAAAATTCTATGCTCTAACTATAAATACGTCTTGATTTATGCATGCACCTTAGAAACATATTATCCTTAGAAACATACCTTACAACTTCTTGTTGAAACGATCACTATGCCCACTTGTCTCAGCTATTTTTCACATACATATTTAATCCATTAATGATCACTTTCTTAGCCATTATATTTTCTAGGCAAATGAGGACGTAAAATTAGGTGCAATCCCTCGTATTATTCGACAAAAATTGAGTAATGCTTGTTGACAGATTCCATCCCCAGTCGCTATGGAGCTAGGAACAAGATTCTCACTCACAACCATCTAGTTGTAAGTAGTGTCGATAGAGTCTAAAGATTGGTCTAAGAGACGAGCAATTCTTGTCTTTTCGGAGACAACTTTTGATGCATTTAAGATCCTTGCCGGCTTCTTTGTCATACTTCTTTTTCTTTCGCTTTCCTTTTAAAAAATATAATTCAATTTTTGTCCCCTTCTACATGTGCATTAGTGGAGAATTCCGGAATTTTTCCTTCCTTTAGGGCGAGGAGAATATGGAGTTCGCAGGCTTTAGCAGGAGCTTCTCTTGAATAGTTTTGATTCCTTGTTGCCATTGTCACATACGGACTTTATAAACATAATGTACGAATTCTCTCACAAGAACAAAAAATGAAAAAATTATTCAAAAAGTCATAAACCTATTTTAAGGAGGCCAATTCGGTCCTAAACCTTTAGACGATTTGCCAATTTAGTCCTAAACCTTTCGATGATTTTGCCAGTCCTAAACTTATTGATGATTTGCCAATGTAGTCTTTCCGGCCAAATATCCAAATAATAGGTTTAGGACTAAATTGGCAAATTGTCAAAAGATTTAGGACTAAATTGACACAAAAAAAAATTATGACTAAATTGGCAAATCCTCAAAATGTTTAGGACTAAATTGACATAATTGAAAGGTTTATGATTGAATTGGCTACCGTATAATAGGTTTAGAACTTTTTTTGACAATCATACCAACAAAAAAAACATCACGAAATCCAACAAAATCATGTACATATAACTAGTGAGGACATTTGGGTAAAATCTCGTTTACGCTAGAGGTGTATACTCTATATTTTCTTTTAAGACCTCAATTCGTCATTCTGATTTGCACGGTCTATGAAATTCTTAAAGTACAATGAGTACTAATAGTTTAGGCGACATGTATCTCCGACTAGGGAAGTGAATGCCCGGATCTCCGCATCATGTTTGAAAGGAATCATCTCATCTTCCTTGAGGGTCACCCACGCATAGATTCCTCCGTTGTCTTCGTCGTCGATTAGGAAAACCGACTTGAAATTCAGTGATGCGAGGCCGACTAGATCCGGCCATCCCCATCCAAAGTCGTTCTTGTATAGCCCGAACCGGCACCAGCTACTGAAAGGAATCAAATGCTCTTCACTTGTGAACGCCAGTTCCGTGAAATCCATTAGAGAATCCTTCACCATTGAACGTAGCTCCTCTGCATCTGCTACTTTTGCATATCTTGCTCTGGAATTGCGTACCATTTCGCTTATCATGTTCACCACTTCTTGGAATACCAACTTGCTTTCATCGGCCATGGATCTATCGAGTTGAGCGGCAATCGTGGTGTAGAGATTACCGCAAGAATTAGTAGGTATCGCAAGGCCAATTCTCTCGCGCAAGTTCATCGTCATGCAAACCACGAAAGGCCTTAGTTTGCCATGTTTGTTTCGATCGATATCAACAAGAGCCCTGGTTATTAGTGCTGAAACGACCTCGACCCTTGATGGCTGCCAATTATCAGCGATTGAATCTGGCGCATCTGCCGTAGCTTGGGCTTTCAGTTTGGATATAGCCTTACCGTCGAACCTGAAGGTACTCATGACGAATTTCTCATTTCCAATACCAGGTTCAGGCCAACTGCCAAAGGATGGCTCTTTCGGCGGGAATATAGACGATAGCTCGAAACTTGGACAAACTATCTTGTGCATGTTTCCCCGGCACATGGCGGCCCACGAATTCATGAACATGGCCATGGTGTACATATCGCCAATCTTATGCGAAATGTGCAGGCCAATGACTAATCCGCCACACTCGAACACGTTCGCTTGAATCACAACCAAGGGATTGCCCACTGCTTCAGTCGGGAATTTCGACAAACGATCGAGCAGATCCAAATCAGGCTCTCCACGGATAATCTGATCGATCCGGGCATCCACTTTGGCATGCACGAACTCAACTCCGTGGTCGTTACAGTCGATGAAGCAACCGTCATCTTCGACATATCTCCCTGCCATAGGATAAAAGATTGTTAGAGTTTCCGAAAGGGACTCCTCCATTCGGCGAAGCCTTTTAAGAGTATCAACTCCTGAATTCTCAGCATTATCTCTATAGTAGAAGATGATGCCGACATAATTTGGCGTTTGAAGCTCATCCATTGAAGACAACTTTAGTTTTTGCCGGTGATGAGGCGTAAGCGCCGACGGCTTCACCACCTTCTTCCACTGTACTTCCACCTTCATTCTTGGAGGATTTCAGGATATGTGCAGAAGTACTTCGATATGGAACTAATTTGGTCGAAGGAGGACTATTTCAGAAGGCTTACACTAAGATCTGTCCCATGTTTTAGTATTGCTTGTTTTATAGATTTCTTAAACAATATTTAAATCTTGGAATAGTGCTACGCATAATAAGATTGGTCGACCAATTTGACATAGAAAGTCACGTTACAGATTCGGAATATATCCCGCATATTTATCTAAGTATTACTTGTATGCTGCCAGATTAATGAACGATGCATAATTCTATTGCTATGTGCTCAAAAATAATAATTTTTGTAAATTTCAACAAGTACGGGTAAGTGTCAAAAATCTGTAGGCAAAAATATGACCGTTGACCTTTCGTTTTTCAGGGAACTTACATAACTTACTAACGTTTCAAATTTAATTACTCACATATGAAATTACCAACCTAAGTTAAAGTTCTGTCAAATTAAGTTACCAACTATTTTTTGAATGCTGACTCTCCTTTAATTTATTTACCAACGTATAATTGTTTTTTAAATTTTTATCAACTTTTCTACTGAATTACAAACATCTTGGTTAGCAACCTTACATTCACCCATTAAACTACCACATAATATTAAGGTAACGCTTATTTGAGTTACTTATCATAGTTTTTTATTTGATTTTTTTATTTGCCGACTTTCTTTTTCTTTACCAAATTGGATTTGCACTTCTTAGCAACACCTTGAATTTATCAAATATTTTGGAAATTACCGGCCTTAATTAGTCGTTCACTAGCTTGTCTCTAGCTAATTTACCTACCTAATATTTTTGTTTCCAACTATCGTTTTAGTTACTCATTAAGTGTATCTTTCTTTTTAATTACCAACTATTCTTATTTTTTACCCACTTTTATTTAACCTTTTTAAGTACTCCTTGATTTTATCAACTCTTATATGAAATTACTAACTTTTATTTAATTAATTCATCAATTCTTCTATCAAATTATCCACAAGTTTTGGATTATCGACTCTTTAATGACATTTCTATGAATGTGTATTTTTTTTTAATTTACCAACTTTTCCGTTGGGTTAATGTTGTGACCTTCCTAGAGAACCACCAAAAGAAAGATAATGGATTACTAAGCAAACACTTAGCGCAGATAATCCCAAGCCCATACCAATCTCAACTTTAGGGTTTTAATTTAATTAATTAAACATCCAATTTTAAACATTTAGGAGTCGCCACTAATCTATTATGGGTTCATTAGAAACCCAAGTAAAATGCGAGAACATTTTACTTCAGCGAACCAGAGATCTTATGAATACAGGACTTGATTACGCTAAATAAATCTAATGTGTTTTTGGTACCTTTTCTTTTATTATAAAAATATCATCAATTTTAATTTTAAACCAATAACATTTGATTGGTGATCATGCCCGTGTACAAAGAAGAATTTAACACTCGATAAATCAAAATAATAAATAAATTGCTAGAAAAGGTAAGAGAATTTTGATGCGCTAACCAAACCAAAAGCTCCATTATGTCCAATCCTATTATCTAAATTATGTGAGATTATTTGTGTATTTTTCATTTTATATAAATAAAATACTAAACTTTATGACGCCTTATACAACTTAATGACCTTTATTAAAAGATGACCCAACAATACAATGCTAACTATTTTTGGTATTTTCTTTTTATGATTAAAAGTAAATGACTTTAACCAATTATGAATAATATATATTAAATCATAATTATGCACTAAATGAAGTTTATGATTTTCTCAAATTACTATATGATTCCTAATGCATCTAAGATATGAATTTCTAATTTAGGAAACGTGAATGCAATTCAATCTTTTTAGACATTGCTTATATGATGCATGTGCCTAATTTAATTACATATAAAATATACCACCCTGCATGATTGACTATATTCATTTAATATTTATAAATAAGGAAACAAACTTAATTGATGTTCCAATCTTTAGTCCCAAACATCATAACCCCAATTATCAAACATATATATTAAACGACTCACAAGGAATCTGCCTATTCGGTAACGCCTAACAAATCCAATCAAATCAAGTTAGAATCAAATAATCTCAATTTAGGTAGTTAAATATTCAATCGAGTAACTGCCTTAATTGGGGTTTCGACTTGAACAACAACCGGCGGCGAGGAGTGGTCACGGCACAGTAGAGATGTCGGGAGGAGTAGGGAAGCGGCAGCAGGACTTGGAAGCTCGCAGGGGCTCGCCGACGTCACGGGCGCTCGCAGATTGCTGGCAGACGCGGCGGGTGGAGCTGTTGAAGTGCTGGTGTTCGCTGGTGCAAGGGGATACAAATGGACGGGCTGCCCAAATCACAGCGAGAAGGTGTCGCTGGTGTAGGCGTAGGCGCCTCACCCCGAGCCTCGCGTGTGTAGGCGTCTTATTTGTGGGGAGAAATTCATCAAACCCACATAATATTTTCTCATCTTCATCCCATCAAAGTTTGACCAAATCTTATCTTGTGCACTTTTTTGCTGAGATTACTTCTCCTTTTAAGCGGTGGAATGAATATTTTTTAAGAGCTACTCAATTAGGAAAAAAGACGGTAAATCATTCAGATAAAGATTGGTAATTTCATATAACAATACAATACATTTAAGGCATTCGTAAGAAAGGTAAATAGAAGTTGGTTATAGATAAGAGAAGATTCATTTTGTTAGAGACAAAAGAAGTCATTAATTGCAAAAAAAAACTAAATAAGCATTGGTAACTAACTCAAATAAGAAATTGGTAACGCAAAACTAGTTGATAACTTAATTGTAAAAAAATCGGTAACCTAGGATAAATTAAAGTGGTGAAACTCAAGAGAATAGTTGGTAAGCAACTCAATGAGAGTTAGTAAACATGGCTGATTGGTTGTTTAATCGGAAAAGTTATTTAGTCGTTCAAAAGGCAAAGTTTGTTAATTACATTAAATAGTGGGTAAATTAAGAGTTGATAAGAAGTAAAAAAAAGCGGGTAAAAGAAAGAGAAGCTAGTTTTTCTTGTAAAAGATAACAGAAGTTGGTAAGTTAAAGGAAAACAAATAAAAGTTGTCATTAACTCAAATAAGAATTGGTGACCTAAAACTAATTGATAACTTAATCGAAGAAAAGTTAGTAATCACTCAAATTTGTAAAAAGAGTTTGTAAAATTTCAAAAAGTTGGTATGTAAAACAAATAAAAATGGTATAGCTCAACAGAATAGTTAGTAAAGAAAAACTTGATAAGAAACTCAAGAGTTATTAACCCAAAATTAGTTGCTAACTTAATCAAAGAAAAATCACACAAATAAAGGTAGGTGATTTTATATACAAGTTGATAAATTTAAGTTATTGATAAGAAAGGTAAACAAATTGAAATTGGTTTATGTAGAGAAAAAATAAATATTGGTAACTAACCCAAATATGAGTTGGAAACATAAAACTAGTCGGTAATTGAATTAGAGAAAAAAATAGATATCATTCTAATTGAGATTTGTAATTTCTAAAAAGAGTTGGTAATTATTACAAGTTGGCAAGCAAGGCAAATAGAAGGTACTTGAGTCAGTAACCCAAAACTAGTTAATAACTTAATCGAAGAAATGTTGGTAAGTCATTCAAATAAAGGTTGATGGTTTCATATAATAGTTGATAAAAATTTAAACCTTTGGTAAGAAATGTATTACAAGTAATAAATGTGTTATTCGCAGGTTCACCCTTTAAACCATTTACAACACACTTGGACACAATTAGTAAAATAGGTCAACGGGTTACTCATATCGACACAATGAATTAAGTTGCATTTTTAGGCACGTTAGAATACGTTTGAACACATTTTTACACATATATATGAAAAGTTATATCTTAAGCCCATTAAACGTGTCATGTCGTGTTGTGCCAGACAGTACAGTGCTTGGGCTTTAAGAATATGCAACGAGTTTTAGCTGTCTCGTGATCGCATTAAACCTAAATTTAATAGGACAATATCATATGATACGATAAGACCATGACACAAGCACACTAATTGCCAACCCTAGCTACCTACATGAAACCCTTCAAATCCAACAGTACAGATCCATTTTACTCAAAATAACACGCTTGTAAGTACCTCTTCCTGAAGATTGTCATTGTCGCGATCGACCTCCGGTTTTATTTATAAAAAAAGAAAATGAGGGTCTTGCTTGGTACACGCTAAGTCTAAGTTCAGGACTTAACTCGGGCTCTCCCAATCCCATACCATATCGCGACTTAGGATTTAGGTTTTTAACCTACAAGTAATTTTTATCTGGGAGTCGCCACTAATCGGTTTATGGTGGGTCGATTAGACACCCAAGCAAGACAATGGCAGAATTACTTACTTTTACGAACCAGGGATTAAATGAGTTCGGGGACTTGGTTACACTAGTTAAATAACTAATGCCCTTTCGGTACCTTTTTACCCCGTTCATTTCAGAAAATATTTGTCAGGCAATTTGGATTGATTTTAGGACCTTTCTCCTAACATGTGAGGTGATCAAACGAGTGCACAATCATTAGTGATTAGCAGTCAAGATAGATATGCAATCTGGGGTTCTAACCCTAACTAAGGGGACGACATTCAAAACATAACAATTTATATAATTATATTATCGTTAAAAACATGCATAATAATAACACAACAGTAGTAAAAATAACATGCCAAATACTACCATATAGCCCTATAGGTTTATCTGATTTAAACATGACAATTTATGTAATTATATTTAAAAAAATACAAAATGTATAATAATAATACAACAACAATTTAAAACATTCAGATATATCACAAAATTTAGAAAAATATTAGACAATACTTATATCTGAATTATATCCTAATTTTAAAAAGAAAAAAAATCGAAATTTTTTTAATTTTTTAATTAATTTTTTTTAAAAAAATATATTTTTTAAAATAAAATAATAATATTATATTAAAACCGGGTCGGGTCGAGGATCTAGGGTCGATCAGGACCGACCTGGGTCAACGGA